ATTCTTCCTGGGATATATCACCGTCTTCAATCGCGTGAGATACGTATTCCTCGATGGTGTTTAATTTAGCGTCTGCCAACATTCGAATTTGGTCGTGTTTTTTGGTTTTGTGGGTGAGTCTACGGGAGGCGTACTTTAGCAAAGCGTAAGCACCGAACGCACCGATAGCGATACCTTCCATCACAAGTCCGACGGGTCCTGTAACGACGCCCAAAAAATACCGACGGCTGCCGAGGTCGCGCCCAGTGCTTCCAAGCCATACTCCACGTATCCGAGTGCGGTTAAAAGTCGTTTGATCTTTTTGTAGCTAGCTTCGCGCGAGTTGCGTTCTCTCTAAATTTGAGATTTAATTTCTTCGATCTTTCTGAGTCTGTAAGTTTTGGTGCTCGCTTCGCTCGCTTCAGCCGAGTTTAAAGTCAAATCTGGGTATATCATCTTTTATTATATACGCGTTTTAAAAAATGTCTAACTCGATTAAAATTTTGCCGATATTATTCAAGAGCTCAGCTCGATCGTTTTTAACAGAAAAAGTCAATTTACTGATGTTTCTGCGTTCTAACTTTTTAGGCGTTTTACACGTCAAGGGGGATGAGGTGTGAGGTTTGGTAGATATCACGTATAGCAAGTATAAAGACTGCCCGTTATAAAAGTTGTCAAATGTATTTAATTGTTTGCAATGAATAAACGCGAGTTTCAATTTGTTTAAATCGTACTTGCCTTCGTAAATAACGTTGGGTAAAAGTTTTATTTTGGGTAAGTTCAATAGCTTAGACACTTCTTTATTTAGTGGCAACTTGAGATTGGGGTCCGTAATGGCCAAAGTCACCCTTTTAGATTCTGAGTGAACCTTAAAAGAAACGCCTGGAATCGAGTTTAACAAATATATATATATATAGGTTCAGTTAGCCCCGTCAAAAACAGTCTTTTAGTTAATTCTCTTCTGGGTCTCGTGGGTGTTACGGGAGCGTTTGTGGTAGGTCGAGTTGGGGGATTCCCTTCGTAAATTTCACATAAAGCTTGTCTTTGCCCCTCGAGCAGTGAAGCTGATTTTACTATTTTTTTGTTGATATCATAAGCTAAACGAGCTCGCGTTTCTGATGGTTGTCTTTGGTTTAACTGATCTTCTAAAGTTACGATTTCTTGGCTTAGCTGCTCAATTTCATCAGCGATGATGCTGATTTCTTCCTCTAAGTTGCCTTTTTTATTTGCTTGGATCAATCTGTTTTTAGCTGTTTGTACTAATTCTGAATTTGGAGATACGTCCGTTCTTTTCTCTGAAGGAATTCCGGGGGCCTACCGTCAAAGTTTGTATCCCACTCAATTTCAGTCGCGTTTGTTACGTTAAAATAACCAGCTTCAAACTGAATATTCTTTACTCGGACGACTTTGTCGCCTTTGGTGTTTTTAATGACATCTCTCAATTTAAACGTCTGCTCGCTCTCGGTTAACTAAAACGTGTGAGTCTCCATTTTATTATATACGTTTTGAAAAATCTTGTTTGGCGAGGTTTAATTTGTCGAGGGCGTTTTCCCCGTGCTTATCCGAAACTTGAAATAGATCTTTCACTTTAGATTCGGTTTCCCCGGTTGTCTCTTGATAACACACCGCGATTAAAGCCTTCAACGGTTTACCTCTACAGATCTTACCGTTTAAAACTTGGTTTAACTTATATTCTATTTCACCCGCTTCGCCGTTTTTTAAGCAAATGTTATATTTTGTATGGTTTTCTCGATTTCGGTGGCGGCGGTTTTTTCCAAACGTGATGCTCTTAATATCTATCTCCCATGTCTACAGGGGTGTACAAGGAAACCCACCAAAAATTAGACCGAAATGTTTACACGCGTATCTTTCGTCTATTTCAAGTATTTGGTGCTCACACGTGTTTTTGGGTGAGCGTTGGTTCCCGCTGCCCGCTATGTGTACTTCCTTGGGATTCAGTAAGTGACAAAGTTCCGCATCAGTCATCTTTATTAATAGTTCATTTATTCAAGAAAAAAAATTAACACGGGTATTCCGAGGAACAACCGACTTTAAATTGATTTTTCAAATTTAATCGACTTTTAGTTTCACAAAAGATTCAGATCCAGATTCAATCCGCTGAACGCTTGCAACGCCGACTTACTCGAAATATGCCCGTCGTTTCAAATTTTCAACATTGCCGCTGTCACTCTATACCGAACGCTAGCGCCGCAAGACAGTGAACCCTGGGTACCGTAAAATACGTCTTTTGCACAAATATATGATTGCGCGTCGCATCTCTTATTGATAAATTCATCGATATTTGACGAGTCGATGGATCTTTTTTTTGTGATCAAAGAGAGAGGCATAGGGATCCATTTTAACGTACATTTGGTTTTTAGCCGTATAAGGCGGTTTAACTACGTACTCTATTTTATTGAGGTCATCGATATCGCGACTGGCTTTGTAGGCGTTTACAGTGTTACACGGGAGATTAGACCCTTGAGACTCGATAAATTTAAAAACGGCCAAATTTATGTGATCGAGTACGTTTGTCGTAGGTTGTTGTGTCTGGTAACAAATTTGACGGCCTTGGATGTTTTCGGGCTTTTTGTCTCGAGTGCCGTATTCGTAAAGTGGGTTTATACGGTAACATGGTTCTATCGTCATAATCAACAGGCCTTTGTTTTGGCCGTTGTGATGGTAAAAGTGGGTGAAATGCATTGGCTAACTTGGGTCCCTTCTTTAACCACGGGTTTTGAAATGATTAATTAACTCTGGTCAAAGGGACCGTAGGTGACATTGGGGTCGCAGTTGTCGGCATTGAGACGCTCGTGGTCATCTGAAACGGTATATACTTGGGTTGACATGGTTCTGATTTTCCCGGCTTTGACTAAAGTTTTTCTCATTTTTACCAGGCCGCGTCTATTAATTCGGGTGGGATTTCTACTTTAATTAAATGTTCAACGTCAACGTCGTATTCAATAATTAGGCCAATTTTGTATCCGCGTCGAGTTTAGTCGTTAAATCGGGCAGTGGCTCGTTCTCCCGCACGTGTCTCACCTTTTTATGCTTGCCGTCTACGAGCACCACGTGATCCATTCCTTCCAACTCGACACAATTTACGCAGCAGGTGCAATCTGTATAACCAAAACATTCGGTACAATTGGCGAACTCGTAACAGTCCTCGCAACTGTCCAAGGCATTTGAATTTTGGCAGTGGTATTAATTAAAACAAGCCACGCAATTTATACATCTACCGCAATCGCGCAGGTGGAGCAGTCGTTACATCTGGTGCAGTCGTTACATTGGTGACAATTGTGGCATTCTTTAAAATCTGTACATTT